TAAAATCTAAAAAGAATTAATATTTATATGCAATAACTTTACTATCATAAAGAAATGATTTTATTTCATAAAAATGCTATATGAAAGATATGATAGATAATATGACCGATTTGTTAACATAATAGAAAGTTTTAGGTTAGTTTAGAAAACTAACCCTTCTTTTCTACGGGCTTTATAGACATGCCCGTATGTACCTCTTCCAACCTTACATCCCTCAAATTCAAAAAGATCCTCGACTTTAGTCCGATCTTTTTGTGCTTTCATTTTAAATTCGTAATCCATCATGGTTAATACTATCAGACTTTTATTATCAACTATAAGCTAACATCTTTAAAATTGCGTCCTCTCGCGCAAAAATCGTACGAAATCAGAATGATGTTTCACTTATCAAATAATACATATCTCTAATTTTATTCACAAAGAATTACGTTGCAACACGCGACAATTCACTAATTTGCTGTCACTGCACTATCACTTGTAGTACGCGATGCTGACGCAGGTACATCTGGCGCTTGCGCAGAATTGTCACGTGACTTCGGTACCTCACCGCGCTCTAAATTTAAATATGAATAATTTGAAATTCACACACATCTTGCTATTCTTTTACAATTATAAAAAAAAAAAACATTTATTTTTATAATTTATGGTTTCTTACTATTAAAAAAGAAGATACACTTATGCATATGTTCACACTGTCAATAATTAATATACATTTGTTCTAAATCATCCTAATACATTATAATAATATTCTGAAGGTATTCGTAAAATAAAAGCAATTCTTTTAATATCTTTTATTGTCCTTTTATAACATGGTGCACAAACGACAACATTTTTATACACAATCCAGTCGGGAACAACAAGATTTGTTAAAAGGACATAGACGAGGTGTGTATGTTAACTAGTAATATATAATTTATTATTAATTCGATAATAAAGATCGTAGAGAGATATATATATATATATATATATATATATATATATAGATTGGAACGATATCGACTGGAACTGACAATAAAGATTCTTAAACCGTCTTGTGATAAAGCGGCTTTATGTATATATATATATATATATACTTATATACATATATAAGTGTTAGCAATGCTAATAGTAATTAATTGGTGGACATTAATAGAATTAGTTATTAATGAAAATATTTGATATTCGAGTTTAAGTTAACTTTAGGCGAATTTAAAATCTTCAAAGGTATTATTTTCAATGAAATTGAATATGTTTTTTTATATCTTTGATATATATATCATTATAGTATGTATTTAAATATATTTAACATTAGATACCTTTTATAATATACATTCTACCCTTTGTAGTTTTCCTTTTTTTTTTTTAATCATTTTCTTCCTCCTTTTTTTTTAAATACGGATCACAGATATGTCGTTGTTCTTAGAAAAAAATAATACGGCGGTGGACCAAACGAGCAACATTGCAAAGTTTATATCCATGGGATCGAACACGTGTAGGCAGACAAATGTACATCTTATGCGACCTTTATTTTATTTTATTTTTTTTTTTTTATAATAATCATTTCTTATTTCAATGAAAACTCGCGCAGATTGTCGCATAAAATCAATTTTGTCATATTACGTATTATGAATTAACAATTCTTATTAGCAAAATGAGAAGATAACTCTTGGCTTCTGTAACAGTTTTTTTTTGTCATTTTTCTTCTATTTCTTCTTTCCTCATTCGATCATCTTAATGTTTTAAATGATGATCGATAATAAATTTGAAGAATATTTACAAAAGACATCGGTAATGATTCATCAATCCGTTTCGATGCTCTTCAAATTAATTTAATATCATTTCTGAGAGAGAGTTTGATCTTCGAAATTAAGAAAAAAATAGGACTCGTTGCGTCTCAACAAATTTTATGTTTGTTTTAAATTTAAAAAAATACAACATACCACGATTTCACTCAATTTCGCAAGGTTTAAAGATTTGGATGAAAGAAAAAAAGAACAAACGAATAAAAAATATAAAAAAAAAAACTAAATGCGTATTATGCAACAACCACTTGAATGAAGGGTATATTCTTATACAACGATTTACAACATTGCTAACTACATAATAACAAATATGATGACGACTCGCGAATCATGCGATTTTATCGTACTTACTTTTAAGTACTTATTACATTTTTTTTATTTTTGTTCTGTGTTATTCTCTATTTGTTCGGTTTATCTACATTTTTCTAATAATAGATATCTCGGGCGCTAAGATTTCTGTAATTTCTCTCGAGGAAGAACATTTGGTCGTCGAGATAAGCAATTATTTTCCTTTTCTTTTTTTTTTTTTTTCTTTTTTCTTTTTTACAAAAATTAGCTTTAGACGAATATTTATTTAGTAGAGATACCTATAGATATCTACGAAGTCACGTTATCGATATCGTCGTAGCCAAATGTTCAACCAAAGGAGAAGAAATTCGTCAGAAGATAATTAAGAAGCACTACGATAAGCGATCAACATACTAATTACGATTATACTTATTATTTTAGAAATACGCGTCAAGTCGTCTTTTGTTTATCTTTTTTTTCTTCTGTTTTTTATTCCTTTTTAATTATCGACTTGCATTTATTCCGAGGAAAGCATTTCAAAGAGGAAGATATCAGATTCAATCTAAGTAATTTGTCAGACTTTCGAATCTTCATATAATTATTAACTTTGGTTAAATCGCATTTACGTGTTAGTTCATTTAAGTTTCGTTGGAAGATTTCTTATTTTTTTTTTTTTTTTCTTTTAAATAATTGGTCACTGTGACGATAACAACGGGAATTCGATATGACATTATACAAAGATCGAACTTTTTTTTTTTTTCTTCAAATTTCTTCTCATCTAACTTTGTTCTATTTCTCGTAAAGGTTTCTCATTTTCATTCGTACAGGCAGACTTTTTCAAAAGCACAAAAAAAAAGTAAAAAAAAAAAAAAAAAAAAAAAAAAAAAAAAAAATAGAGAAATTCATCTTCACTTTACTACCTGCATACACCGACCGACGTTCAAATATATTTTTTTTTCTCTCTCTTTTTGAATATAATTAATTAAAAGTTATTATGAGACGTTACACACATATTCCTACCTTGACGCAAAAACACACTGTAAAGTTTAAGATTTAATTATTTCTATAATAATTCTACAGAAAAATGTCGTCGGTTTTATCTGATTTTATGTTGCTTTTTTCTGTTTCTTGTTTTATTTTTTTTTTTTATTTTTGTAATCTCAAGTCGATTAGACTCGTTTAATTGTTAAATCTAAAATGCGTAATAGAAGACAAGATTAATAATTTTTTGGAATAATTTTAAAAAGGGAATAATTGCGTTATATTAAACGTCGATCGATTCACAATAATTTTTATTTCTTAATTTCTAATAATATGATTATTATATATATATATATATATCATTTGTTGAACTCCGGGACAATTGGGTTCAAAATCGTCTTACATATTTTCATGTTTTTCGTTAAATTATTAAAATAAAAAATAAAACGAGAGTATTTTCATAATCGGTTTTTTGTAAATAATTGGAATGTGAACAGTATTATTGAGTATAAAAATTTAACAAAAAGAATTTAATTAAAAATTCGCTCACGTTGGTATGTGTAATTATGAAGAAAAAAAAATTAAACAAAAAAAGAAATAAAAGTCATTAGGAATAATTAATAAAAAATATAAATAAAGAGAAGATCATTAAAGAATATTTTAAATATTTACCATATATTATTGCAATTCGTCATTTAAAGACGATACTTCGGATAAATAAAAAATAGAGATATTTTATAGTCGAAGTTGTTCATTACAAGAAACGTACGCAGTTCTTTCCATTTATTATTAATTGTGTTTTTTCTTTTCTTTTTTTTTTTTTTTTAAGAGCCGTAGATTTTAGATTCCCACTAGTTATATTTTGTACTCGGTTTATACCGCCGGGAAAAAACGGTATGACTTTGGTAAAAAATATCGCTGTTCTTTTGTGTTTTTCTTCTTGTTTTTTGTTTTGTCCTTGCATTTCGTTTTCTTTTCCCTTTTCTCGACCTCTCTCTCTTCGTTCCTCCATTCATTCCGTACAATTATAAAGAAGTAAATGGGTATATTTTTTTTTTTTAATGTATATGTTTTTAATATATGCATATATTTATATATGTATGCGTGTGTTATACTCGTTGTCACGCGTACGTAACATAGATAATAATTAAGTCACCATTTCGTCATATTAATTTGTTCAAATACTGAGACAGTACTAGTTGAGCTAATCAATGCGATATTTAATTTTATAAGAAATTCTTCGAGTCATAGCCATATCCCATTTTCTCGATCCTACAAATAACGAACGTGACACCTTATTGGAACATAATTTATGCTAAATGATTTGTAAGCGACTACGTCATCGAGGTTTGTATTTGTAGTAACAACCGTGACGTTAAATCTTCTTCTTTTTTATTCAAAGAGAAAAGTATTACGCTGACGGTGAGAATAATTTTGAATAAAAAAGAATAAGAAAAGGAGAAAAATACGAATAAAAATAATAAATTAAAATAAATTATCAAAACTAAAAGAACCTTAATAATATGCATTTAAAATGCGTTGGAAAAATAATATTTAAATGAATAAAAATAACAAACCTTGTTACGAGTATCCTTCGATTATAAAAGAAATAAATAAATCATCGATCGTCCGATTTTGACGAGCTCGTGTTCGTGTGATTGTATAAAATAAAAATAAAATTAAACTTACTCTCTTATCCTTTCTTTTTTTTTTCTCTCTTGTTTTCTATTAATTGGCATTAGAAAAAAAATGTTTCAATCATTAAACTATATATAATGTAGGCAAGATAAAAATAAAAATAAAATTATTTAAATAAAGAAGAAGAAATAAGAAAGTGCAAAATAAACAAATATAGAGAGGAACCACGTTTTTGCAAAATACTGTGTGTATCTCGTCAAAAAAACTGTGCGTTTTTTCTCCAGAACCGTGTAACTGTTATATATCATCTTATATAAGTTTTGGCTCCATTTTTAGACCGACATTTACACACAGATGACACGCATGTACGTATGTGTATATTAAATTCATTCCTCGATAAGTTTTCGCTTCTTTCTCTTTCTATTCCTCCTTTCCATTTCCTTCCTTCCTCTTTTTTTCTCTCTCTCTTTATCCCATTCTCAGTTCTCCTATATAGCCCTGTTTGATCTACAAAACACCTCTTTAATCATAAGTTTCAGATTCCTGTTGTACTAATTTATATCGACGGGGACTCTTCACGCACATAGAACCATGGCCCTCTAAGGAAAGTCTTCCTTTGCGTTGGAGATATTTTGTGATGTACCGGGCGACCAATTTTTGCGGTCTTATTTGCCATTCGTCCAAAACTTCCTTAGGTGCCATTACCTATTTAAGAAAACAAATTAATTAATGAAATAAATAAATGTAATATTAATAGTATTTCATTTACTCTTTTCCCAATTTGTTTCTTTGTTCTTTTTTCTTTTTTTTTTTTTTTTGTAAAGAATCAAATAAAGAAAAATTACCTGATCTCCCTTGAGTCGATCCAACAAAGTCACGCAAACAACGGCAGATTTAATGCCAGCGTGATAGGTAAGTGCAGCGAATGGGGTACTTTCCATTTCAATATTAACAACACCAGCTTTGTGTATTTTAGTTAAATAATCCATCTTTTCATTCTCCGTGAAATCGCAAAATGCTCCATCCAATCTAGCTTGGCCTTCGTAGAAATCATAAGTGCACATGGTCTTACCGACTACGGTGTCGTAAGGGTCGTCACGATGTGCCAATCCTTTTAATTCTCGAACTAATAATCGATCAAACTTCGTCGGTCTTGTCACTATTTTTCCTAAGACGGGCTGAAAACAAAAAATAAGAAAATATATTTTATTATTTTTTTATTATTATATTATGATATTATATTGTAATATATAAAAAGAAAATTAACTACTTTGTTTATTATAATTATATATATATATATAAAATAAAACTTACCAGTTCTAAATGAGGATTCAACATTCCATCAACTGCTTCTTCAGAAATAACAACGGTACCACCTTCCAATCCGATACCACCACAAGTACCAATCCTAAAGAAAATTGGATCCTTGACCTTTGCATGATACATCAGCTTGATAATTTCGTGAAGAAGAATTCCCACTGAAGGAATACCCATTCCATGCTGCGGAATGAAAAAAGATGATAACTTTTAAAACACCATTTTTTTCCCAAAGAAGAAGAAGAAGAAGAAGAAGAGAAAAGTATTGATTAAGAAAGGTAGAATAAAAAGAATAATAATAATAATAATAAAAAGATTATATGAAAAAAGAAAAAGAAAAAAATAAAACTTCGAAGATGGATGATATTTTTGCAGTTGTTTTTACTGGTTCGAAGAAAACACATCCCGTGTATTGTACTTACGCTGATTGAAAGCACAGGTCCGACTTTGTACATGGAATAACGATAAGAATACTGGCTGATGTCGAGAAGGGTAGTTCCGGCTGGGATCTTGTGACCTATTTCCTTCATAATGTAATTCGCAAACTGTTCCATACGTTTCGGTGTACCACCCATGCAAACGAACTGCAAACAAAATGAAACGGAGAGAAAGAGAAAGAGAATAGAAAAGATAAAGTTTCGTTTCGGGTTAATGTAGCGTGTTTTATCGTTTTCCATGTCACAATAGAAAATTGTATAGAGATGAGAGAGACAAAAGAAAGTGACGGAGATTGAAACAGGTCTATATAGGTAAATGGAAAGAGAGAAAACTATACGAATATGAAGGACAATAAACAATGTCCCACCGTCCAAGGAAATTTAATGTCCATCATGACACTAATAATTATTCAGTTAACTTTAAAAATTCAGCTTTTTTGATGACAATTACTGATTCAATTATACGAATAACTTTATTATGTTCGCATGACTCAATCAACGACCATCATCGATCGGTCGGTCATAGAAAAGAGATGAAACATTTTTCAATATTGATTTTCACGATAGGTAGTAGAGTAGGTGTTATATTCAATAATCGGGTTCTCGTTATCTCGATAATTAAATCGATTGATAAAATCGACGTCGTAACAAGTCATTGAATTTTTCGTATACGGTTCGTTGAATTTTTATAGAAAAGATAAAAAGAATTACATTTATGCAACATTTATACAAACGCGTAGGAAAAAGAGCCACTCTTTTGCGTTGGAAGAATGGAAGCAAAATCACGAAAATTAATTCGCAGTCACTTCGTAAAACAATCAATTGAAAAAGAAAATATATATATATATATATATATACTATAACACATCGGGGATAATTACTGACCAACAACATCCTCATATATTTCCCGTGACCTAGTTAAATAAAATGCACCGTTCGATTTTCCATTCGAGCTAATTAAGGCAAGAGATTCTTTTTTTTTTTTTTTTTCTATTTTTATTTTCTTCTCTATCTATCTCTCTCTCTCTCTCTCTCTTCCTCTCTATATTTTTTTTTTAATTTAAATAAATTCAACGCAACGACTTATCGGCTTTATCGATGACAATTTTTATTTCTCGTTTTTGCGGAAGCCGAATATTTACGAGTGAAAAACAAAAATAAGAAATAAAACTAAAAGATAAAAACAAATAGATAAACGATAAGAAATGTTAATATTTGCAAATAATACAATAAAAAGTTAATTTCGTTCCATCGATATTATTTATTAATTGTCAAAATTAATCGACACACTGACTTGGTTTCTGTTAATGAAAAATTTATGGTTATCAAAATTACTCAACATCATAATTTCTGTTAAGCGATAATGACACAAGTAAATAACGATTATCGTTATTCTTCTTGGTACAATTTAGAACATGTGAGATATACATTTCGCAATCTCGACAAAGAAAGAAATAATTCATTGTGATAATCGGCAAGTAAAAGTCGTGTGTCAGTAAATTAAATAAAATTATATTAAAAATACGATAAAATTAATCGTATTCTTTTTACGAAAATCAAATTATACAACATTCGTATGATGCACGCGCACGAATACATATATGGATGGGTTGAAAAGTTTTGAGCTTAACATAAAAGCAATTGTTTTTTATTCAATCAAACTCGCTTTTATTGTTCAAGGTAATCTTAAAACTTTTCAATCCAGTCTCGTATAAATAATCCAAATGGTATAATACACAATAAAGAAACCTTAGTAAGTTAATACGAGTAAACGAATGTTGTGTGTGTGTGTGTATGTGATGTTACGTAGAAATTTGTGTTACCTTAACATCGCCAAACATTTCCACGAGATCGTGAGAACCACTGCCAAGTGCTAGATGATATAATATGTCTTGATCCATTAGTTCGATGTTAGGATTTTTCAATCGTACGGAACCATCACTGTACCTGAAAATTAGGAAAATAATTTTTCTTATTATTAAAAAATTGAACGATGCGTTATAGTTTTCTTTTTTTCTCTCTCTCTCTCTCTTTTGTCGTTTTGATATTAACAATACCCTAAAACGATGATAATATTTGATCATATTTTGTTTTAAATTGATGACACGAAGATTCAATGACCCATAAAAAATATTCTGCCGTTTCGTAATAAAGTTCCACACTCCAGCAATGTATTTCTTTAAATCGAATAAAATTTTGTGTACACACTAGTAATTCTTAAACTTAATTTGTAACGTGTAAGTGTGTGCACTCATTGATACTATTTTCATTGCTAAAGTATGCATTAGTGTGTCAACATTGGCAAGTAGTGCCAACAATTTAATGTAAGTAACTACTTCTAATAACTATCGAGTTAAATAAACATGATGAAACGATATTATTTCAAAAGTGTCGATGTAATTAATATATACATTTTTTTTTTTTAATATATATATTTTCATTATTAATAATTATATCGAATTGATGAGAGAAATTTAAATAAAAATAAATAAAATTAAAAGAATCAATAAAAATTTTCGATTAGATCAATATTTCTTAATGTGTGTGGTGTGGGGGGAAGGAAGTAGAAAAAATTTGTTCGAAGCTTAAAAAAAATTCTTGGATGCTTAACTATCGAAAATCAATTTCAAAACAAATTCAACAACGTTAATCAAAAATTTAATTGAAATTGAATCTTCCATTAAATTTTGTATATAAAAAAGAAAAAATGTATGATAGTTTTTCTATAATTTGATTTTGCTCTCTTTTAATTATTCTTTGTTAATTTTATTTAAATCGATTGTTGTGTGCGAGTGTTCAATATTATGAACAAAAGTTGTACGATTTCAATATCAATTTAAAAGATGATATTCGTACGATTAATCATTTTGATTCTTTCATCTAAAGCGAAATATCGATCACGAAATACAATTTTAATGAGCTTTCTCGCTTTACCGGGGTTACACAAATAGAAAAGTTTTAAGACTTTTTTAATTATTCGAAAGCGAGTTCTCTTTGTGTTTTGAACGACATTGAAAAACGATCGATGGCTATTTCAAAGGAAAATTCATCAATGTTAACGTTTAACATCGCAATATATGTATGCATATAATCTTTAGAAAAAATTACTCACATCAACAAGATAACAATGAAGTTGACATAATTTTATTATGAGATAGAAACATAAAAATAATAATGCGTTTTATGAATTCTACAAACGAGTTTGTGCGTAAATCTTTTGTTTGCGAGATTATTCAAGAAAAAAGAACAAAAAGAACCATTTACATATTTGAATAAAATTTGTTTTCCTATTAACGTGTTCAGTCGATTATTAATTATTAACTTTACACGCGAAAGCAAAAATTATTACATTATTAAACGTTACAACTCTGATCCTTTACTTTTAAAAAAAATTAAAACAAGAAATACGAAATTACTCACAATTCGTGTGCAATTAATGTTCTAATTTTTGAAACTATATCAGCGATATAAAAATGTAAACAGAAAGAGCATAAATAAAAGTAGATTAAAACGAAAATTTATTTTCTAAATACAATATATCTTTTCTTTTTTTTTTTTTCTTTTTTTATTACCAGTTTATGGTCGCATTAACAACAAAGTCATTAGCGACAAAATAAATCTTGTATGATGAAGGACGAAAGTCTCATACGATTTCCTAGAAATGTGCATCATTCTCGATAACGATTTATTTCAAGTGTTTATCAATGTAACGATTAGTTGCTAACAATACATCATATAAATATATATTAAATATAATACATAATACGTAAAAAAATAAATCAAAAAAAAATTTAATATGAAATAAG